AAAACCTCACACTGATATCCCTATTGTAATTTCTGCTATTGCCGTTTTTATTATTGTTTATTATCGGCACTTAATTCAAGAACGATAATTATTGTATCAGTACCCCATGCACTTTAAGACCAACGATTTAGGGGGTCGGATAAAATTGTGTGGCCGAAAAACACGACACATCAGTTATTTTAAATTAAAAGAAATTTGAGTTTGGATTGCCGGAACAGCCAAAAAGTAAAGTATCTGCTAAATGCTCACTGTGACAGGCATACATGTACATGCTGGACTGTGTGATAAACAAAATAATTTGATGTCAAAATTAAAAGCACTTGACAGTGCTGGATAAGCTGACGATATATAAAAACTAAAGCTAATTATTTTAGTACTGTTCAGTAATATGGACTTTAATTTCCTAGCAAATTCATGAAAGAGCATTAGTTAATCTTGTTTATACATGTTGCTGGGTACCATGGATTTAGTTCATACAAATTCATTTAAGTTTGATTGTGTTGGAAGCTATAAGCTTATTGAAACACTTTCCAATCTGTCCCTGGAACCAACCAGTACTAAGCAATGAATGTAAAGTTTCTTGCTCAAGGAAACAACGGCTTGACCCTGACAGGGTTTGAATCCACGCGGTCAGCAATCCTTAGATTACTAATCTGACGCATTAACCACTTGTCCACAACGCCACTCTAAGATTTGAAGTACATTAAGTTAAGAAGCAGAAATATAGCAAAATTTGTAACATTGAAAGGTATTTTCCCATGAGAGTGACTCATATTGTCAAGTTGTTGATCATAAAAAAGGGATGTGATCGATTTATTCAAAACGTATTTAAACTAAGTTTTCAGAAATAATATATTACATTTTTGTGGTCGAAAATCATGCGAGCATTAATTTTATGAATGAAGAAAAAACTCAGTATACAGTATACACAAAGCTTTTAATGTGTTTTAAAGTTTTCAAAGCAAGCGTGCAAAAAAATTTTTGAGTTCGTTGTTTTTGTTGTTGTTTTGCTTAGACTTGTTTAGACTTATTTGAGTATAATTTCAATCTCCATTTTGCTAACTGGATGAATAATTATTCTATATTTGCTGGCATAAATTAAAAATAAACATAAATTAACAATATTTTACATGTATATATTTGTTGCATAAATTGTATACATGTATTTTAAATGATACCTTTTATGTCTTAAGTGGGTAAAACCGTCACAAATTAGCAATTTCCCTATTTTAATATAATTTTGGCTGTGTCGCAAAAAATAGTAAACAAAAAATCATTGGTGGCAACACAGAAAACTAGTAGTTTAACAAACCTCGTTCAATCATTTAAAACCTTGTTAACACACACAAAAAAAACGTACAGACAAAAGTTCATGTAGGGTCGTAATGTATTAAATATACCTGAAATACATCGGTCACACTGTGTGTTATAAATAGATAAAACACTGTGTCCTACGTGAAGTTGTTTCATTTGTTAATTTATAATGTATTATAGTAATCAGTAAATAGTAATTATCAATTAATTATGAAGCATCATCTTTAAAAATGTACCGCAGCAGTTATTTCCTTATATATTATTTGAATTAGATACAAATTGTTTAAGGTGAAATAATTATAGATAAATTTTTCTTCATTACTCTCTTTTAAAAAATACACCCGCTGGTTTAGATCAGTAGGGAAGCATTGGATTTGTAGCCCTGGCAACACTGGTTCGATCCTTTGGGCGAGGCAATATTTGAGCCGCGTCATGACAAAACCAACATAATGGGTTTGCGACCAGCATGGATCCAGACCAGCCTGCCATCCGCGCAGTCTGATCAGGATCCATGCTGTTCGCTTACAAACCCTATAACAAGTAGAGAAAACTGATAGCGAACACGCATGGATCCTGATCAGACTGCGCGGTATGCGCAAGGCTGGTCTGGATCCATGCTGGTCGCAAACCCATTATGTTGGTTTTGTCATGAGGCGGCTCATTTCTTTTTGACAATTAATATTAGACATAATGAGTCTAATGGTCATAATTGTCTCTAATTGCTTATTGAAAAGTCAATGTGGCTTTAATAGTTGTCCCTTTTGTGAGAAAATTGGTAATTAACTGGTTCCCAGTTAAAACCCAGGAGAAAAAAAGGAAGAGCTGGTTCATAAAGATATTTGACAACCAGGAAATATTTAACCCAAACATGTTTAAAAAATCAGCGTGAAAAACTAGAAAAACACTAAAAAACTCGTTAAATTATGGTGCCCATATCATTATGTGTGCTCATTACCTATTTTGGCTCTCTTTGATGTGCTTTCCGTCACCCATTTTGTTCCTTAATTGCCCAATACAAGCATGATAATTTGGCTCATGTGATTAATTGCTCCCGTGAAAGCTGAGTGCCCATCACTGATTTTGCTTCTGTAAAACCTGTGTGTCCATCACCCATTTTGCTCCTGACTAATAGCTGCGTGCTCATCACCCATTTTGCTAAGCACTGTGATTATTTAGCTGGGTGCCCATCACCCATTTTGCTCCTGTGATAGCTGTGTGCCCATCACCCATTTTGCTACTGTGTTAGCTGTGTGCCCATCACCCATTTTGCTCCTATTATAGCTGGGTGTCAATCACCCATTTTGCTCCTATTATAGCTAGGGGCCCACCACCCATTTTGCTCCTGACTGATGGCTGGGTGCCCATCATCATTTTGCTCCTATTATTATAGTTGGGTGCCCATTACCCATTTTGTTCCTGTGATAGTCGGGTACCCATCACCCATTTTGCCTCCTGTGATAGTTGTGTGCCATCACCCATTTTGCTCCTGTTATACCTGGGTTCCCATCACCCATTTTGCTCCTGACTGATGGCTGGGTGCCCATCACCCATTTTGCTCCTATTATTATAGTTGGGTACCCATCACCATTTTGCTCCTGTGATAACTGGTTGCCCATCACCCATTTTGCTCCTGTGATAGTTGTGTGCCCATCACCCATTTTGCTCCTGTTATACCTAGGTTCCCATCACCCATTTTGCTCCTGTTTATTTTCTTGTGATATGGTTTGGGCATTGCCTATTTTGGCATCTGTTTTGTGATGCCAATATAAATTTATAATCTTCCATTCATAGAATAAATTATCAAGTTCTTTGGTACAGTGGAATCATAATTTGCATATCATTAATTATCCATGGGTTCAGATTTTCAGAACAAACTTAAAGTTGAAAGTAAAAATAAAAGAAAGACCAGTAATTTTGAAACAAAATTTATGAAACAGTATTGTTCACCATTAATTTTGTGGGCTACACTTGATTTTTTATGACTTTCTCATTAAAGTAGTTAATCAAAAGCATTTCTTTTAGAACAATGAGGACTGTGTGAAGCTTATTGAGTGACCTTGTTTTAAGACATGGCTGAAGAAGGTAGCTCTGTCTTCTAAAAGTCATCAATTATTCTCTGTTGTGTTTCCATTTTAAAAGTTTTTTTATTTTTTGTGAAAATGGCCCTTTGTCTGAAAAAATTTCTGTGTTAAAAAGCTTTTGGGGTTTTTTTTTGGGGAGTACTAAATTATCTTTGGGGTTTTTTATGAGGTTTTATATGTGGGTCTTTTAAAAGAACATAGTTTTTTGTAAACTGGTGGGAAAAATTGGGGGGGATAAGATCAAAAACATCCCCAAATGTCATCCTCCCAAATCAAAGTATGATGAGTGAGTGATAAATAGATTGATCTATAGATATAATGCTGTGCTGAGACTAGGGTGTAGCTGTCTGAAAATCAAATTATAAGACCACAAGACCAGTGTGAATGTAGTACAACCAAAAAAATAGATATTTTTTCAAGCTTTAATTAGTCATGTTTTGAAGCTATAAAAATATTAGGTGAGGAATTTTTTGCCATTAACACCAATACTGAATCTAATTCTAAACAATCATGTAATCATATTTAAAGGAAATAATTATTATGCTTTATGACAAGAAATTAAAAAAAAAAATCTAAATGTTCATTCAAATTTATTTTTACATTTAAAGTTTAAATATTATTAATTTATTGATAACACAGTTGCGGTTCATAAATTTCATATAATAATTATGCTCGAGTCTTTATTTTAAAATGTAAGGTAGGCATGGTTTAATTAGAACAGTATTTTGATATAATGGACCGAAATTGTTTAGCCTTTGCCACTACAACGACCACGGTTAAAAAGATTAAAAAAAGCCCGCCTATACATGTTCCTGAAACCCCGGTTATAACCCCTTTAAATAAACCCTTTAACTTCAATTTTTTTACTTGAATCCCAAAAGATGATAATGGACAGGGTTTCCCAAATTTTGCAAGTTTAACAAAATCCATTCAAGAAAATTTTGCCAAAATTTTTTTGGTTTTGTGGGTTTATCCCGCAAGGGAGAATAACCATTTACAATTTAGAAAAAAGAACAGCTTTGGAACCCAGTTTAGTCAACCCGGATCTTATAAAAACAAAGATTAATAAAAGCTGCATCTAGAGAAACCCTTGGTTTTTCTGAGATGCCAAAAACATTTTTGTTAAAAATATTATAGTTTTTTTGGGATTTTAAATTTTGTCATGATAAAGGTCTCTATTTTTGTTTTCATAGTGTAAGTGTATGCAAGAGAGTTGTCACAAAATATCATTTGTCAGGGCTTTTGAACCTTCTATAGCAGCCTTGGCCATTTCAGAGTGGCATCCCTAATGAAAAATTCAGTAAAATCATACACTTAACCCCAAAAATGAAATTACATCAAGTTTTTACTTCCCCTACTATAGTTTTCCCCATAAATTATGGAAAGTCTGCTTCCCCTGTCACCAAACTGTGAAAAAAGCCCAGGTTGTATATTACGTTCATGTACAGTCAAATTCATTCATTTACATTTTATAGCTGGAAATATAGACATTATATATCCATGAAATTAATAAGAATCTGTAATGTTAAAATGAAGCTTGAATTCGATGAACGTTTATTTCGTAAGATTTATTGTACAGTTATCTCGGTGAAATGATAAAATAATATGTATATTTCAGATCTAGTTATAACTCGGCCACCAAAAAACGCAACAGTCTTAGAGGATACCCGGTTGTTGATGCACTGTGAAGCAGCAGGCAATACCCGACCTAGAATTAAATGGTTCCACAACGGTGATTTGATGAGTAGAATCGGAACAAACTACAAGATTCGGAACACAGGCACCCTGAGATTCCGTCAGGTGAAGGTGTCGGACAGGGGCGTGTACCGCTGTAAGGTAGAGAGTGGAAAAGAATCTTTATTTTCTGATCCAGCTCATCTTGTTGTTGAAGGTAAGAATGCTTTTCAGGCATCGAAAAACATTTTCAGTCACTCGTCCTGCAGGATGAGTAGCTTCTAAATCTAATGTGTAGGCAACATTTTTCTACTCGTCCAGTATAGAGTTCTCTTAACTTTTACTCGTAATTACAAGTGGACAAGTGGAATTTTTGATCTCTGCTTTTGCATGTTTGAGCCTTGTATTTAAAGGGCATGGTAATGTTTTCTATACACATAATAAATGTGCCTTTCATGAACTCTTTATAAAGTACTAGCTTAAGAAACAGTCAGGTCAAGACAATAACTCAGTTCAGTTAGGTTACCGTTAGCTACAGTAATGGGCTGATGATCTAATAATTTATAGCAATGATGACCACATTAACAGACATGAGAAATCATTAATTATCATAAACAATCAGTAATTAATACAGAGGTAAAATCTAGATTGATGGTAACTAATAATAATATGAGTAATAAACGCACTGACCATCTGGTGTTCACAAACTTCTTGTAGTCTCCATCAAAAAGGGGGAAATAATTACAAATGGGGAAAATAATGAGAGTAAATAACCTCAGCTGTCCGAATAAAAATCTAATACTATTTTAATTATCTATGTTTAATCTACTAATGAGTTTGACATTGAAAATTTGAAATGGGAAAATTTCAAACGAAACTGCCTGTTTCTAAAAATAAATTTAATAAAATTGTACAAAAAATGCTAACAATTTCTGAAAATTAGCTACAGAAGACCCTCTTATGCTTTCTCATCAAATGCTTTTGCGGTTCAGTTCTGTAAGGAAATTTTTTTCATGTTGCAAAAGCTGTTAGTGCCGTCTGAGCCATATTGTCTGTTATATATGTTCTTGTGTCATTAGATACTTAAACAGATGTTTTCTGTATTTTACTAGTGTTTAACATGAGTAATCTGGTACTAATAAGTAACGTCAATTAACACCTTATGCAATAAGGGGTGCATCGGAGTAAACGAGGGGGAACGTAAAAATAATTACATTTACACATGATAAAATGTTACATATGTGATCGTTTTTCGGATTTACCCATCCAAAGTTTGTATAATTACTCATAATTGCCACAACAATGAGGAAATAATGTTTTTAGTTTGGTTTGGCAGGACTTGAGTTATTTCTGTTGTTTGTTGATTTTTCTCTCAAGACTAGTTTGTAACACCATTAGCAAGTTTTCATAGATGCTGCCACAATTTATATATACTAAGGAGAAAACTGTCAGCATACTCAGTATAATTTGACCAATCTTTAGCCCACTTCCTGGATATTTAACCAGTACTTGTTTCATATGAAGAAACATGGTTGTAAACCATGTAAGGCTTTAAACTCATGATCTTAGGGTTGAGAAGACTTAGGACCTTAACCACAAAGCCTGACTGATGTCTACATTTTTGTAATAAATATGAAATCTTGAATGCCTGAAACTTTAAAATTCAAATGAATTTGTTGACATTTTTGTCTTTTCTTGATACATATACATTTGTAACATCATATGCTATGCTTCAATCAACTTTTGTTTATTATCTGTATCCCTTTAATTTGTTATGAGATCTATTAACCCTTTAATTTGTAAAATGTTTTGTTTTTGTGCGATCCCTTTAATTTTTTCCGTTTTGTTCCATTGTTCGTATTAAAGATATGTATTTTCAAACAATATAAAACGTTTTTTTATTTTATTGATAACATGTAACATGTTCTATATTTTTACAGCTGAAGTTGAAATAATCAAGCAGACCCCAGAATCTGGAAAGCTCATTCTCCCGTACAACACTGCAGTTAGATTGACATGCTGGGCCGCAGGTATTCCTGGTCCAAAAATGCAGTGGCGCAAAAATGGTGAATCAGTGAGTGTAACTGTTAATTACTTTGCCAATGCTTAATTATGATGTGTCTGAAAACGTTTGCAATTTTCGATTTTTTAACTCGACTTTCAAAAGAATATCGAAGTTACCCTAGACGGAGCCTGGCATTCATCCTTGGTATATATACACATCTGTGAAAAAAAGTTTGGACACAAGTATATTTCACATTAACTTTAAGACAAAAATGTAACACTCAAAATGTTATGAAAAATTTCTTCAGAGTCATACGCTACAAATAACTCTTACATGGTATTTTGCTTTATATCTAAAATCTAAAAATAAATCAAACTTTATATGAAACATGGTTCTTATTTTCCTACATAAAATTGTCTTAGTGCATTATCTGGTCATGTCCTTCTAATTTTAAAAGGAGTTAACCTGTTATTGCACTAAAGTCCCTGATGAAATTTATTATAATCATAACGTGTTGTTACTGAAAGCTCTTATATTAATTATTGTTTATTTTCACCAAGAGCTTTATATATAATGTTGCCATATATGCCTTTCAGCACAATAACTATATGATTTAAAAAAATCTACTAGAATAATTGTTATTGTTTACATTGACAGTGATGTATTGTTTAGAGCATTTAGAATATTCCCTGCTAGTAAGGTTACTAAGCAATGCCAGAAATTAATTGGCAGAATCTCGCTTCGAAGACAGTTTTTAAACTCAATTTTGTTGACCATTCTTCAAATGTTTCTTGCTAATTCAATGTCCTTGTATTTGCTCATCGTTACCCTCGTTTTTGGTTACAGTTAACATAGTGACTGAAGTTTTTTGACATGATAGTACTGGAAATAAATTTTTCGACATTAATGCTCCATGTGATAGTAACTTGTTTGAAAAATTTCAGATCATTTTTCCAGAATAATTATACAAAATGTGAAAAATGACCTGAAATTAAAAAGCATTGCAACGCTTTTCACTCAAATGATCTAAGAATAGCACACAAATACAATTTTTAATCTATTTCTGAGTACATATCTTGTCTGTTTTTGTACATCTGTAAACTGTTTTAAAGGGCCCATTTGATATATGTAAGAAATTAAAATTTTATGTTTTTTTGGCTTTGTCCCTCATGCAGTCGAGTTCCTTTAATATGTCAAAGTGAGTATATGCCTTTGCCTTTGCGAGGATGATTTTGAAGTAATTCATTTGTTTTTGTTAAAGCGAATAAGATTTTAAACTGTTTCTTAACATTACAGATAATTGATGAGAGGGAACATGGTGTAATAATAGAAAATGAATGGATTGCACCGGACAGTATTCTTGGTTCTGTGTTACATACCGGAAACCTCACACAGACGGCAACATTTGAGTGTGAAGCTGTGAACCAGAACGTGGGGGGCGACTCTGTTCAGTCGAAGGTGTTTAACATCATTGTGCGGCAAAATGAAGGTCAGTTTTTCTTGTTAGTAGATATCTACTGCTTTTATGATCTGATAAAAGATGAGTATTTTGATTTAATGGTGTTTAGAAAAAATATCCAACTTTTCAAATGAAAAGTTGGCCAAACTGGTTTAGCTTTAAAAAATAAAAATTTCTTGTTTGTAATATATTTTTGTAATATTAAGTTAAGTTTTGCATAATTTATATAACTAAGTTTCTTCCAGAAAATGTTAACTTTTTAATTGAAGTTTAAGAGTATGAATTGAAATGAAATATATAATAAACCTTTGAATAAAATATTTAAAATTCTATTCATTACCATTGCATAAGTGCAAAAGAAAATCTAACAGAATTTAACCAAATTTACTATAATACTATATATATAAAATTGTTTAACCCAGTTTAGACTATGTAAGGTTAATAATCTAACATCTGAAAAAAATATAATTTGACATTTAAGGTGTAGGGAGGACATGGTTTATCGGTGAGTTTAAACATGGGTTTTTGATAATGCATGAGTCTAGAAGTGATTTGTCAAGTGGATTTTTGAGTAGCGAAAAGTAAAAAAAGAAAAGAAAAGTAAAAAAAGAAAAACAAAAGTCAACATTCCTGATGCATTTGAATGAAAAAATAAAGTGGTCGAGACTCGGTTAAGAGTGAATGGGAAACTGTGATAATCTTGATACAAACTTACTGATGTAAGTTTTCAGAGTCGCGCGCTTGACATGAAAGAGTCGTCATGAAACTGATATTTTATGCTGATGATTCTATTAATGAATAGTTTAAACGTTTATTATGAAACTTCACAAGTTTGTGGGAGTTAATGTGATCTGCTTGACAAATATTTGATTTAAAGTCGACCTGACCCATATATCGAGGGTTGACTGCGAAACTGCAGTAACTTTTTTGAAATAACGAAAGACTTACAACAGTTTTGCTACCAACCCTCGATATATATTATATTTATATACATATATATATAAATGTATAATATTTAGAGATTAACAGTAATTGACTGCCTGTTTGATAATATATCTGGTTGTTGATTGAAAAATCGTAGTTTTTTATAACACTTAGTAATGTCTTAAACTAATCGCATGAAAACTTTCAGTCTTAAACCATGAATGAGATGTATAAAAAAAAAATGAGCCGTGTCATGACAAAACCAACATAATGGGTTTGCGACCAGTATGGATCCAGACCAGTCGTCTGCGCATTCGCGCAGTCGGATCAGGATCCATGCTGTTCGCTTACAAACCGTATAACAAGTAGAGACACTGACAGCGAACAGCATGGATCCTGATCAGGCTGCGCGGATGCGCAGGCTGGTCTGGATCCATGCTGGTCGCAAACCCATTATGTTGGTTTTGTCGTGACACGGCTCAAATATTGACTTAATTTTGGGAATATCCTGAATTGAAGTCATGGTTGCTTTCAAAAATTTTGTTGAAGAATTTTTTTTTTGTGAAAGTCTGAGGCATAATTCCTGTATTTAGAAATCATTGGCTTTCACCATGGACTGTCAAATATGGATTTTTTTCCAAAGTATATCATTGTATAATATTATGAAACTTATTTAGTTTTATTGCACACAAAATTAACCTCAAATCATGCATGCATTTAAAAGATGATACTTTATATAGCATATATTGATCAAGGTCAGGATTTGAGTTAATAACTATAATGTTTTTACTTTTATGAGTTTTAAATTGAAAAAAAAAAAGTTAACTTTTCTCAGAGAAAATAAATATTTTAGGATAATTTGTTATTGCAAAGGCAAAAAAAAAGTATATACATTTGTACATCTTTGCCGGTTCTATGTTGTTTTTTACGAAAAATTTCGCTAATCGTCTGAGTCACAAAACACCGTTATAGACGAGCTATTTCAAACGTGTGGTTAGAAATTACCTAAGTTTTTTCATTATGGTTTAATACAGTTGATACTGGTTTGTTAAGCATATTTAGGTTGATTGGTTGGAAATGTTAATCTGTAGTTTTCTCATAGAAGAATGCCATATGTCTTCGAGGGTTGCAAGTTGGCTTAAATACTTCAAGACTCTTTTGATTATTGACGTAATGACATTTAAGTCTTAATAATATTCTTAATGAGATTTGCAATTGAGAATTCATCTGAAGATGATAACATAACATAACGTAACACAATTTTTATTTCTCTCAATACATGTAAACATGCAAATATGAGACAGAATTATTCTTGTAACAAATGTTTTTGGATATTGGGAAGTAAAAAAGTTGTTTTATTGGGGAAGGGGGGGGGGGGGGGGGGGAGGATAAATTGGTTAAGACTCAAGCAGCCAATTTAATGTAGGTTGAAGTATTCAACCAGATCTTTTCTACATTATTATACAAGCATTCTCCCAGGCTTATAATGTGCTGAATTTTACTATTATGATATTGATATCCCTTTCATGAATAATGGACCGTTCTAAAGTTCAAAACAGAGCAAGTCCATTTTTATAAAGTCATGGGTGTAAGAGTTAAACAGAAATTGAGTATTATATTAATGAATGAAAAAGTAGCAAAACTTGAAGACAGAACTTATATTGAATAATCATTGTGATAGGCTCGAATTTTATTGACATAAGTCTATTTCTTAACAGAAGGTTATTTATTTAAGTCATATGTTAGGTATCATTTTTCCAGTGTTGATGACTCAAAACACCTGTGTGGTGTGAGGCAATGCAGGTACTAGATAATTTCATAAAATCAAAGACCACACATGCATCTATCAATCTTTTTGTATTGACAGGCTTCTATAAAGACCCCCTGAACAATGTTTTTCTTACTCTTGACGTATGTTTTTATCAGAGTGAGCTATGGTAGTGAATAATTTTCATCAATTTAAGCAGTTGGTGAATAATTGATAGGCAGTGAAGTTGTTGAACTGTTTCGCAACTGGTAAATCATAGTTTCGAAGATACAAGGCAGCTGTTAAAAGTTTCAGGTCACCTTGCCATCAGTATCATCATCAGCAGCAGCAGCTAAAGGAAAGTAACTCTGTATATCAGCATCTCTGTGGTCAGACATGTATAACCTCCCTTTGTTTGGCTGCTGAAGCTGAGGCAGTTACAAGGGAGGTAATTTTGTTATGCCTCTAGTTTATTTTTTGTATCCTATTTCAAAAAGAGACTTTACTTTTCAATAAAGCCATTAAACGTGTTTATTTGGAATAATATTCACAGTAACGGGTTTTTTTTTCATTTCTTTGCACCAGGTGGCTTTTGAATATTTGACATGCCATTTTAAATCCCTTTAAAGCGCATAAATACTTTTAATTGACTGAATTACAGAATTTTCAAACATATTTATATTCAGTTTCGTATAATTGCAGGTTTTATGTATTAAAAAAAGGCTAAAACGTTTAATGTAAGGAGCTGAATAACGGGACGTTTTTTGGTCCCAAAGATATGACAGTTTACAAAACTTAGCAGTAGATTACCCAAGTATGCATTTAGTACATTGAAAAAAAAAAAGGAATGTCGCATGTAATTGTCACGAAAATGGATGTAAACAAAAATTGATAAAATTTGTTATATTTATGATTAAATTTTGTGGACCACTTTTCAAGGGTACACTAGAAATCAGTCATAGCTTAAATGGCTTCAAAAAAGTGTTTAATGTAACACCCTTATATTTTATGCACAAGCAAAAAGTGCATATTTTGTTAACTTGGAATGTTAGGTTTAAGAAAAAAAAAGATCTTTTGAAGTCGACATATACTATGTCATGCAGGTTTTTATGTCAATTTTTTCACCTATAACAATTAAAGAAGAATGAAGTCTGGTTTAGTTTATTCAGAATTTATTTTAGTTTATTTAAGTTTAATTTGTGTAGGAAGCTCTCAGCTTATAGACTATCTCTCGGATTGGTTCCTGGAACCAACCAGTACTAAGCAATGAGTGTAAAGTTTCTTGCTCAAGTAAACAACAGCTTTTCTCTGATGGGGTTTGAACCCATAAGGCAAGAGATCCTTAGATTATAAGTCTAATGTGTTAACCACTTGGCCAATTGCCGCTGAATTAATTAGATACAAACTTGAATGCATATTTACCATCCTCCCCACCCCCCCCCCCCCCTTTCAGACACATTTTTAAAATTGCATGTCCCCAGTCAGGGACCATTTATCTGTCAATCTGGACAAAACCATTCATAATATTTAGGGGAAAATAAAACTTATGTTATGTTCACTAAGATGTGGTGGGTAAATCCATTTGCCAGTAGCACTAGGCATAATGATTAAATAATATTGAATGATCATTCCATGACAAACATATTGGAATTTAATTATAAATCATAATTACGTATGCACTTTGCTAATTTTGATATTCTTTAATTTAATAATCATGTATGAATGGAGAGTGACGTAGAAAAAGTCGGACATAATTTAATTATATTACGCATGCAACATACATTAACGTTTGAAGTAGGCTTCTTTTTAAAGTGGCATTGTGTATTATTTATTAAATGAAATATTGCCCCTGAAGTTTGTATGATTAATACATGTGTTTATTACCTGCAAAAACTTTGTGAATTTTTCAAAATTAAGATGACAGGTTAAGAAAAGATTAACATGTTTTAATTACATCGCCACCATGTGGTCGGACTTTATCTCTATTTAGTCCATTGTGCGTAGTGACAGCTTCAAACCGAGTTATATAATGGCGAAAAATCCACATTAATTAAGTTTTAAATATTATAATAATTGATACTTAATATGAATCAAATTGCAGTAAGAAATTTTGATTTATTTGATATGACATAATTTACATATTTATTCGGACTGAACGAAAAAAAATGCGAGTTTTGTTACAGAAATTATTTCTGTCCCTCGATCTGTAGATTATAATTTATTTACTTATAAATAGTTTAAATACGAAAGTTAGATACCACAAAATTAAATTAGATGTCATATTTCAGACCAATTAAAAACATGTCATGTTGGAGATATGATATGTTATAATGCTGGTATAATTAATATGCGAAGAATTAAAACGCTGTGTAAATTTTTGTATCTTAACTGTATAGTGAAATTAATCACAAAATATTTTCATTCAAGAATGTGACAAGTTCAAATAACGAATTCAAATAAACGAACAAAATATTCTCTGACAGCTTTTCAGATTTCATAATAAAATGGAAGGAAAGTGACTGACACATTTCTTTTATATTTATACATAATAAATAAATAATAATGATAAAATATTTAAAATGTGAGAATATAATTATCTCACTTATTAAAATAACAAAAAGTTTTAATTTCATAAATGTAGTGATATAATAAATGCTGTACAGAGTAGGAAGATTATGCAGTATGTTTTTATTATGCCCCCACCTGGAGGGGGGGGGATTTAGATTTGCCCTTGTCCCGTCCGTGCATGCCTGTGTGCGTTTGTTCCCATGTTGTGTCACATGTAGCTCACTAGAGCCAACAAACTTTATCAGCATGAGAAGTTTTCCTGTGTGGATTAATTCAGTTTGTTAGAGTTATTGCCCTTGATTTAGTAAAAATGTGCAATTTTTAAACTTTATGTACAGGGCTGTTGTTCAGCATGTGTAGTTGCAGATAGTTTCACCAAAACTTACACTGTGCCTGTCTCATAAATGTTTTGCCCCAAATTCATAATAGGAATGTAAATTTAGAGTTCAAAAGGTTAAACCATTCAGAATTGTTACAAATTTTATCAGCTAGTAAGAAGAGTTGTTGCCCTTTATTGCATGTGAAATATGTGTGTCGCACTTTCTATATAAGAAGATATGTTTAGAAATTTACTTGCTGGAAGTGACTAGCCTTTGCTACCAGTATAGAGCCAGGCCAGTGTCCATGCCCATACAGTCTGACCCATACAGTCTGACCAGGCTACTGTTGGCTGATAAAATTTTATAGTTTAAAACATATTGATATTCCTCTAATTAATAATGTACAGTTAAAATAGTGAAAGATAGGCAAGTCCATTGAAGAAATTCAGCATGCTGAGGGTTAAAAAATGATAAATTTTACTCTTGTTTATGAATTGCTTAATTCAAATTTTAAAATTTTAGGTTAATCAGATTGTAAAAGAATTTTATTACAAGCGATAAATCTTGATATTAACAATGTCATTATTACGTCTGCATTATGTCATCTGGAAGTCAAATACCTGCATGAACCCCACTGTGTCTGGTATTTCTCAAACTTTTATCAAAATATTTCATATCTAAGATAAATGAACTTCTACATTTTAACATAAATAAATATTGATTATGCATCATTCCTGTCATAGAAGATTGACATTATCTGATAAAATATTGCCAGATATCTGTTTTCTTTCCCCCTCTTAACCTATTGAATGCAAAATTGGGTTGCCACACCAGTGTTGAGCCCCAAATTTAATTATCATGTACATTGGGTTGCCACACCAGTGTACAGCCTGAGGGTAAATCATGTATATTGGGTTGCCACACCAGTGTAGAGCGTGATGGTATATCATTTACATTAGGGTTGCCGCACCAGTGTTGAGCTGGAGGGTATATCATGTACATTGGGTTGCCGCACCTGTGTAGAGCGTGAGGGTATATCATTTACATTGGGTTGCCGCACCAGTGTTGAGCTCGAGGGTATATCATGTACATTGGGTTGCCGCACCTGTGTTGTCAGCAAGAGGGTATATCATGTACATTGGGTTGCAACACCAGTGTACAGCCTGAGGGTATATCATGTACATTGGGTTGCTGCACCAGTGTTGAGCTCGAGGGTATATCATGTACATAAGGATGCTGCACCAGTGCAGCCAGCCTGAGGATATATCATGGACATTGGATTGCTGCACCAGTTCAAAGCCTGAGGATATATTATGTACATTGGGTTGCCGCACCAGTGTAGAGCCTGTACATTATGCTGCTGCACCAGTGTTGTGTCCGAGGGTATATCATGCTCTAATGCTAATGGAAGCTTAATTTCAAGTGGTTATTTTAAACTCTTACCATATTAATCTTAAATAGTTTGTCCAATTCTTTGAGTCTGGACAAACCATGGCATGACCTTGACTCCCTACTTAGCCCACATGTTTTCAGAATCAATTGTGATAGTAGATCCATTATAGTCATGGATAAATTTTGCCTCGCCTGCTGACCACTGGATTAATAATCCAATGCGAGCTAAACAGATGGACATGAGTCATCTAACTTTAATAAACCAAAATTTTAACAAATTGTGATAGAACAATATTTTATGTGTTTTTGCTCCACACCTATAGGCACCCTGCATTAAAACCAATTTTTATTTGGCTGTGCTTATCAGTAGTTATCATCTCTAAAAAGCTTGTACTGATAAGAATCCCCATCAGTTTAGATAAGAGGAGAAAAGTTATCAATTAATGACTATTTTTAAGTCCCAGGGGACCAGCTAATGGACTGTTTTGATTGGCTGAAATTCAAGGGAGAAGTCATTGATATTTGATCTGACATCTGTAGGCCAAGAATTATAATATATTTGTTTCAGAATGTTTCAAAGAATGACTGATATTCTTAATTTGATTGCAACCTTTAAAAACTCTTGAAACTTCTATAAACATAACTGGAAAGAGTAAAGTAAATAAAAAGCAGAAAACACTAAAGAAATAATTATGTAATAAACATAATCTGTTTTGCCCATAAAAGTCTGGACAGTTATATATAAACAAAAATGAGCAAAAATTAAAGAGTGTCTCATTTTTATATATTTATAAAATTCTAAGTACAAAAAAATGCTCATTGACCATTTTGAAATGTATTATAGACCCATGTCTATTATATGCCCATGCTAGTTGACCCTGTCCTCCCGCCACAATTACCACCCCTCACCTCAACCTTGTGCAGTTCGGTATTGCCTTATGTATTGTAAAACAATAGTTAATTGATCTAGCCTCAAACTGTAAATGTTCACTTCACCTGCTTCAGATTCTGTCAATGCCCTTGAAGGTTTTTTTGTCTGTTGTTTCTGGTGCAGTTCATAGAAATCTTGCACTTTTAAAGTGACAATGATTGTCTGTAATTGAAGAAATGAGAGAAGTGAATTGAATTCTCTGAGATACAGTTCGAATGTTATTATGCGATTTTATTATGCAATCTTCATAAAAGAAATTAAAGCTTTCTGATTCAGATAGGTTTAAACAAAAAGAAGACCAAGAGAGAAAACTTGAAGAGTGTAGAAAATACATTAAAATAAACAAATAACAAATTAAAGATAATGCAAATCTTGTCTTAGACTTTATCTGCAGAAAAGTTCTGATTATTTTTTCTATTAAATTATAAAAGAAATAACAAAAATAACAAAAAAGAAAAAAAAACAATCAGATAGTTCTTGAAAATATGAAAAATGCTAAAACATATTTTTTGGAAAAATAATAATTTAAAAAATAATAAGATTTAAAATCAGGTCTGTTCTGTGGAAAATTTTAATAAGACTATTTTCATTGGATACCTACTGTATTGGATGGAGATAATAATAGAGTGACTGAGTAATTATTACTATTTAGTAATCTAAGGACAGTAGGTAAGCAAGCAAGCGTCTTGTGAAACAGAGCAAGTTGCATTATCAGGACACATAATCTGTTCTGGGAGTTTTCAGGGAGCCCCGTGTTCTTGTAGAGAATTACTGCTCAATCAAAACTCTCTCTGTCGGCTACACTCTTTTTATTTCTCAGTCAATACATGTGGATTATTCCTCAGTGATATTATAATTGCTTTGCATGTCACTGAAGAATGGTGTAAAACTGCAATGTTTTGGTTATAAAACTTACACTTCTTGGCACATTTTATATGTGTTGTGGTTTTTCTGAAATTGAACTGGAAACGACAATTAATAATTATTGTCTAGATTTAATTGATTTTAAAATTTTTTAATTTTTTTTGGTGGTGTTTTTTATTCCGGCAAAAATGTGTGTTAATTGAATTGATAGTAAATGATCCTTTGAAGTAAGAAATTATTGTGGAAAAACCAAGAGAAGTACAAATTAATACAAAAAAAAATTGTCATACATATTTGTCGGATTAGACGATTCTTAGTGCACACGTGGGTAAAATTGGGAAATTTATCGTATAATTGGACAATTTGCATAAAATGCGAAAATTCATTTTATCACGAGACTCTTGTGCTTAGAATTATAGAAATATAGACAAATTGTTGCAGCACGCACATCTGGATGCCATTAACAACCAAATGTTTTAAAGGATCGGAGGAAATTGTGCTTTCATTATAAAAAAGACCTGTTGAATGGAGAAATTTATGAATATATAAAATAATTCATTGCACATATGTGAATTTAATGACAGATTTGCTGCCGCTCAGTGCAAGTGACAGAGTTTTCAACGTTCGTTCTTAGAGAAATTATTTAACACTGCTGCTTTCATGTAGTTTCAAAGATATATAATGTAAAATAGATAAAAAACGTGATTGTTTCTACATGATTGACACATTATTGCTTCTACATGATTGACAGTTCTAGAGTTTGAGAGCATAAACATTATTTATAAAAAAAAAGGATCATGGAATTAACGAAGTTATTTTCTTTCTTTCTTTTCATGCTTGACTTTGGATGGTGTGCATATACAGATACAAGCAAAAGGTAAATTATTTATTTTGTCTATAATCATTTATTTATTTATCTAATATACTGTATTAATTATATATATATTTATCAATGGTTCAGATACCAGTCCTTTTGAACAAGTATGGCCATGTAACCAATATTGATGTAAGTTTTTCATTGAAAAAGTAAGTAAAATATTTATAGGTACATAATAATTATAAAACTGAAGTAGTGTTGAGACTACATTGTATTTGTAGAATTAAATATAAATTTGTAGAAATGTGAACTGCAGATTATAATATTTTTATAGATATGTAAATAGTTGTAGAGTATGATATTTTATAGATTATGTGAATTGTTGTAGAATAAAAAAATTTGATTTATTAATGTAGTGGATATGCTCATGATACTAAAGGTCATTCCACATTTAATTGAACTCTATATTATTAATCATTTGCCTAGAACTTAAAGAAATTTTAAATGGTTTAGGGAGGAAACTTAATTGGTCTTTTATTTTGTTGGCCATTCTTAGGACAACAATTGAAGACTTCCCATGTCTTTCATTATGCCAGAATTTTGTTTAAAGTTATATAATTGATAACCACAGGTCACAAATGACTTTCCATCAATTGTCAGAGTTTGTTATATGACTGAATTGTCAGATTTTATTTTATAACTGAATTGTCAGAGTTATTATTTGGCTGAATTGTCAGAGTTCATAATATGGCTGAATTGTCAGAGTTTTTATATGACTGAATTGTCAGAGTTATTATATGGCTGAAATGTCAAGAGTTATATTATATGGCTGAATTGTCAGGATTTATTTTATGGCTGAAATGTCAGTTAATCATATGACCAAATTGTCAGAGATTTTTATATATGACTGAATTGTCAGAGTTTATTTTAGGACTGAATTGTCACAGTTTATTATATGGCTGAATTGTCAAGAGTTATTATATGACTGAATTGTCAGAGTTTATTATATGACTGAATTGTCAGAGTTTTATATTATTATATGGCTGAATTGTCAGAGTTACTTTTATGGCTGAATTGTCAGAGTTTATTTTATGACTGATTTGTCAGAGTTTATTATATGGCTGAAATGTCAAGAGTTATATTATATGGCTGAATTGTCAGGATTTATTTTATGGCTGAAATGTCAGTTAATCATATGACCAAATTGTCAGAGATTTTTATATATGACTGAATTGTCAGAGTTTATTTTAGGACTGAATTGTCACAGTTTATTATATGGCTGAATTGTCAGAGTATTTTTTTTATGAGTGAATTGTCAGAGTTTATTATATGGCTGAATCCTCAGAGTTTATTATATGGCTGAATTGGCAGAGTTTATCATATGGCTGAATTGTCAGAGTTTATTATATGGCTGAATTGTGAGAGATTTTTATATGACCGGTAATTATAAGTTAATTTTGTTTTGTCTGAGATTATGGTATAAAATTAGTTTTGAATTTACAGTAATCATGTATTTGTTTACATGATACACTTGTGTGACTTGATTTGAGACTTCGAGTTTACATTATAAGTAGTTGTTGACAGTATTATGCATTAATTTTGCAGCGATATAAAAATGCTTATCATAGGCATTATGGGAATATACAATGCGTCAATCTATAGTAAATATTTACGTCCAACAACTAAACTTTCTTGGGAAAAAACGTTGACGGAACTTGAGATAACATGAAACAAGTGTGACAACTTGCTAATGTCTGTGTTAAAACATGAACTTTCGAAAATGAGACAAATCTGTTCTGAAATTAGTTGTCAGCTACCGTATTTTTCCAAACATGAGATCCCTCCATTTTACTACAAGCTACCGTCTGCACCTATTACCCAGACACTTCAATTTTAAAGGTGTCAGAACCATCTCATCTTGAAAATGAAATGATTTTATTAATTATCTGCTTTCATATAATTATTATACATGGTCCTTATGTTTTGCACTCTAGTTAGGGGGGGGGGGGGGGGGGGGTGAAATCCCAAGTAAAAAACAAATTGTTTTGCAGGGTACCTGAGGGTGCTTATATTAGGAGAAATAGCAGGTATGTATCATTAAATCTTAAACACCACATCCAGTTCTATGGGAAATAAACCTTGTTATCTAAAAAGTAAATATTTAATTTTCTTAATTTAATGGACCTTTAGTGGTAATCTGGCCATATTTACTTCATTGACGTATTTCGTGACTGATTTTATAATGCCTGAATTGTAGATACCCTTCCCTTTTGCTGATTTAATTTAGTAAACGTATTGTAAATGACAGCACAGTTGACATGCTGTATTGTGAAGTCTGTGGTCCAAATCCTGTCAACGTCCAGTCATTTTGTTTCCTTGTGCAAGAAACTTTAAACTCATCTTTTAGTGCTTTAATTACCAGAGGTACCATTTATGAATTTGAGAGTGTTTCTTCCTATACAATTGAAGTAAAATAAATTTTGTATATTTATAAACTTAATTCTTCTTTGTCTTTGGAACAGCCTCAGTGCTTGCGATAACAGATAGGCAGTGACTAAATTGTCAAATAGCCAATTGAGATTTGATTCTGGAATTTTGTTATATGTCATCATGTTTAAGTAAGCACAAGTAAGCACAAAACTTTGTACAGTCAGTTTATATACAAGTCTGTCATATTTTAACTTCGTAAATATGCCATTCGCACATGTATACAGTAGTTTTTCGATTTCTTGCATTCTGGTATTTAATAATCACGCCTTAAGAAGCAATAGTGATGATAGGGAAGTAGACACTAGCAACTGGCCACTTATGTCTTTTATTTTACTTAATAAGGGAAAAAAATAGCACATTTTAAGACAGTTCCAAATTGCTCTAGGCGGAAAAAAACAACTGACAGTCCAAAATTACATAAAATCAGGACTGGACCATTATACAAACATTGAATCTTTCCTATAAAACAAATTTATCATTTATTTATTTATATATATAATTGGAGAAACCCAAACTGAAATATATTGCATAATAGTTTCTTGTTTGTGAAACAATTTTGGGTCTTAAATTGAGAAATTGGATGACAGCTCTTGGGAAAATATATTCATTTGCAGAATTATCATTCATTATCAAGATAGTGTCTTCAGATAGGAGAGATTCTTGCTGATAAGCATGTGGCTGGGGCAGGAATAAGGTCATATTAATGTCAGATACATCTCATTTAGTGCTCTTATTAATTTAACATATTCACATGTAGGCCCACACAGAGATATATTAAAGGCTCATCATGCCTCAGAAATGAATATATTAAAGGCACATATCATGCCTCCAAAATGAATAATTTTTTTACTTCTTTATAAAGGGCAAAAATGAATTTTATAACATTTGAATAATGGTTTTAGATTATGTAAGAATTGCTTGTAAACTGAAGAATTTTTAGCTATAGTAACTATGACTGTGAAATAATGTGTCATAAAAGTCGCAAAAAATAGTCATATTTTGACTTACATACAAAATAGTAAAAATCACTATAACAGTACTTATTGCCAATTAAACAGCAACAAAAGCAAAATATTGTTCAGTTGATTCAGGTCTCTACTATTTAGTGACTTTTATAAAACTATAAAAGTGCATGAAAATTAAAAGCTGTTGAAAAATGAAAAAAAGAAGCCTTTCTGAGCCGTAGTGCTAGGCCTTTAATAGGTATAATTGTAGTAATGAAACCAGAAGAGAGTTATGTTTATATTGTAAATAAATATGATAATATTTTGGTAGAGCAATTTTAAGTTATTTTATATGTTATGAATACATGATTAAATTATATAAGAGGATAAGTAAATATTTTGATGTAAGTAATTGAAGTCGTAAATAAAATAAATTGAAGATTAGACTATTTTATTTAGCTTATTTTATCAGATTGCATTAATTTATAGATGAAAGTTTAGGCACTTATTAGACAATACAGTATACAATACAAAACAGTATTATGAGTGAGGTGTTAATGTCTGGAAACATTAAAGAAGTTGAGATCAATGTAAGCTTTAAAAATCATAAAATTGAACAAATGTCAATTAAGCCTAAAATCATAAAATTGAACTGAGGTCTATTTAAGCCTAAAATCATAAAATTGAACAAATGATTATGTCAATTAAGCCTAAAATCATAAAATTGAACTGCGGTCTATTTAAGCAATGAACTGAGGTCTATTTAAGCCTAAAATCATATAATTGAACTGAGGTCTATTTAAGCCTAAAATCATAAAATTAAACTGAGGTCTATTTAAGCCTAAAATCATAAAATTGAACTGAGGTTTATTTAAGCCTAAAATCATAAAATTGAACTGCGGTCTATTTAAGCATTGAACTGAGGTCTATTTAAGCCTAAAATCATAAAATTGAACTGAGGTCTATTTAAGCCTAAAATCATAAAATTGAACTGAGGTCTATTTAAGCCTAAAATCATAAAATTGAACTGAGGTCTATTTAAGCCTAAAATCATAAAATTGAACTGAGGTCTATTTAAGCCTAAAATCATAAAATTGAACTGAGGTCTATTTAAGCCTAAAATCATAATATTTGGATTTCTTACCTACATCATCTGGGGCCCAATACTTTAATGGAAAGATTTGAAAAATTAAATTGAAAACCATATATTTGCACTATTCTTTAAGTCAACTTTGAGTTGAAAATATTTAAATGATTTTCATTAAGTTTTGGACATTTTTTTCTCAGTTAAAATTATTGTACACGGAAAATTAAAGTGAGCAAATGATCTGAAATTTTTTTTGCATACCTTAATTATTGGTCCTGCAGACTTCTACAACACATCAAATGGTACATAAATCTTGGAAAAAATATTTCCAATCCAGAGTGTCATGTCAAAAAACCCTCAGTGGAGTCCCTCCCCTTTTAATTCTTGAACCCTTGATCCAGTGGATTTAGAGGTGGAACTGAATTACCAAAAACCACAGTAAATTGATGTTTCTGCCTAAGATATATAATCAATTTGAGGGTATTTAAGTCTTAGAGTAATTATTGTTTAAGTGGGTGTTTGAGAGAGGGGTTTGGGTG